GTCGGTAGATGTGCACACTCACAGTGCACACACGCTTTATGTAAAAGTGGATTATTTCGGCACAAATAGGCACCCAACTTTCATGGTAAGTGATGCAGAAATTTCAGCTCAAAATTGCTTGTGTCGAGTTTCGGCGCATGAGGGTCTCACGGGCGCCCAGCTAGTGTATGGATGTTTTCCAGTCTGGTGCATTGCCATAGGTAGGCGGAATGTTAAGAATAAAAAATCCCTTGCCCTCTTCAGCCACCAGTGGCTAGCTACGAAACAAGTTATGTATTTAAGCAAGTTTATCATGGGTGCAAGGCTAGCAACATGTGCAAGACACTTCAGCATCAAATTCTGCTCAATTTTGTCATTTGTGCCATTCAAAAAACAAACAGGTACATCAAAAGGAATGTACACGCCGAGCACAGAGGCTCCGGCGTGAGAAAGCCCAGCCTTGTGCCGTGCTGCCATCCACTTGCTGAACATGAACTGGGTGCGGGTGAAGATTGATTGGTGGGACCACGGTGACTATAAATAGGTGGGACCATGCTGCTATGCAACAACCTCTGCTTAGTGGGCACCCGGGCTCAAAGCCACCCACTCAACCCTTCAGACAAATTTTATAATAGTTTGGCTTACTTTTATTAAATGTACCTACTTGCAAAACACCTTCTTTATAGGCTCACCGCTCAAAATAAACAAAGTGTGATTTTCCACGTAGTGGAGCCTGGGTTTAATGACAACAATGTCACGTGCTTCAGGATGACAAGCAAAAAACGATATCACGCAAAAACCGACAAATTGCAAAACCGATTTCACGCAAAAACCGATGTCTCGGATAAAACGCGCGTAAAAAAAAAAACGCGTAGTGGAGCCCGGCCTTAAGCCCTGACACACGATACTCTATATATCCAGCAAGAAATAACCATTATGACCTCTAAAACTTTTTGCGTAGCCAGTGGCATGTTTTTATCATACGTTGCATCGACGAAGTCATTAAATTTGTAACATTATCATACAAAAAATTGATGTATGCCAAGCTGTTTCTCAAAGTATGCCACAAAAAGTAGCATACTTTCAATGCCAGCAAACTCGGCAAACAGCTGTTGAAAAAGCAGATCGGCGTACCAGAGGTACTTCAAATGTAATAGTATGCCAAAAAACGACGGACTTATGCAGTCATACTTTGTCTTGAATAAGTATCCCTGTAAGGAGTTTGGTGAAACCGAATATGTCATAATATGCCAAAAGTGAATATGTACGCTGCCGTAATGGAATATGATATATATTCACTTGGTGAAATCGGGCCCAGGTGGACACCACCAAAAGGAAGGGACCCATGGTTGGACTTGTACTTGGAAGAGGTAACCATGAGCATAGTGCGGGATCTGAAAAAGAAGGGAAAGCTGAACCTCAGCCAGAGAGAGAATGAGGCGCTCCTCTCACTCTTGAAGGATGATTCTATCATAATAAGGCCAGCAGATAAGGGTTCATCATTTGTGATCATGAACAAAGAGGTACATATCCAAGTACATATCCGAAAGAGGTACATATCCGAGTACATATCCAAACTATCAGAGGAAATGGAGAAAGGGGAAGCTTATAACGCAACAAAGGGGGATGTCACACCATCGGTCTTGAGGAAGGTTGACAAACTGGCATCGAAACTGGAGAAGAATGGGTAAGGGTATATTGGGAAACACCAAAGAAAGCAAAAAACCGCCAAATTACCGACTTACTAGAAAAAAAACCTGCATTCTTGATTCTAGCTTACCCCTACAAGATATGCCACATTTTTGCAGTTTCAGTAACCGTCCCAACCAGCAGTCATCCATTGACCAACCACAACTACCAGCAGGCTGATTTTGGCTGAGTTGGCCCCACAAATGCAGGGTGTCCCGAAATTGATGCGCGGTTGTTTTATCCTCAATAACTTATCAAGTGCTCGAATTTATTTCACGGCTTATATGTTATCATAATCCCCATTCAGTTGCATACACGGCCTATTGCACTCTAGCGTTTCACGTTTCAGGTTGTCAAGAGTCTCTCCTTTGAAACAACGCCATGCCGTTTATATCTTCTGAAACAGCCTCTTCTCTGAGCTAGCCCTGGAAGCTTGCTGAGCTCTTTTCTGACGATTGTCCAGATAATTTGAATCGGGGACAGGTCCAGACTGTTGGCAGACCATGTCCCCTTCTCCCAGAGGCCTGGGAGCCTCGCTCGGCACCAGTCCTGGGTCTTCCTGGCGTGATAAGCTGGAGCCCTTTCTTGCTGGAAAATGGCCCTGGATATGTCCGACAAAAGTTTGACTCTGGTTTTTGAACCATTTACCTTTTCCCTCAGCATCTTTGTGGCATCAGTCTTCTTCAGCACCTCGCTGACATAGTAATAAGCAGTCACGGTCTGTCCCCGAGGCACCTCGTGAAGCTCAGAGCGCCTCTGTAGCTCACCATGCTCCAAATGAGATTCTTCAGCAGACGTTTCACCGTCTCGACAGCGGACTCCTCAGAGCTGCCGTTGGCCCACATTTCGATCGTTCTGGCAGTTAGGGGCTTGGAGACCACAAAGGGCACCTTGTCACTGAAAAGGACGCATCTCCAGTCCTGAATGGTCTAGTTTTTGTGGGTTTTGGCGAAATCCAGCTGCCTGTACTTCTGGACCACGGTAGGCCAAGTCTGCATCCTGAAGCTGAGCAGTTTCAGCTTCAAGATAGTCTTCAAATACTGGTGGAGGGTCGATTTGGATGCTGGGACATACATCTCATTCAGTTTTCTTGTCAGCTATGTTGAATGGTGCTTTTTAAAGGTCGACTTTGCAATCACGATTTTCGCCACTCGGCTGAAGGCAGTCTTCCGCCCTCGAACTGTGCTGTTCTTGAGTGTCTCTCCTGATCGTTTGCGGTCCATCCAAAGTTTAATTGTCGCAGAGTTGACGCCCTATTCTCTGGCATCCGGAACCTGGGTCACACCGTCCTTGATCATCCCCACCACGCGGTAGCGGATCGGTAGTTTGTGCTTTTTCACTTTTGGTGATATGCAGTTTCTCCACGTTGGCGCCCACTACCGGCCGCGGTCGGGTTAGTCGCTTGGTTCACGTGATCGTGTGACCAGCAAGATGTCAGTGGTGCCAGTGCCGGTAAAATTGCAGTTGTTCAGCACTCGGGAGGGACAACATAACATGCGGCACCAACCGCGCATCAATTTCGGGACACCCTGTAGGTACCCACAATTTTGAAAATCATCTCCAGTCTATAACTGTTAAAATATCACCTGTTTTCAAAATGGTATTGCCTACAAAAAAAAAATATTAACACATTCATCAAAAAAGCAAGGACAAAAAGATCTTGAATTACTGAATTGTGTTCCTGATGACTGGACAGTGAGCAGTAGGTAATCACATTTATGCTTCTGAGGTTACTGCGGGTGATCCTTAGCTTCCTGTCCTACTATCCCCAGAATCCAGTCCCCTTTCAGTGACCAATCCAGTCCTCTTTGGGGAACATCTTTCAGTGTTCCCCAAGATGATGCTGACGGCGGGCCGGCTGCGGGCGCGTGCGCCGGCTGGCCCACGCGCCGGTCTGGAGACGGCCATTAGTCCGGTGAGCGCGGCGCCCGAACGGCTGTCGCTGCCGCTGCCGCTGGCGCTGGCGGGTGATCGGCCGCTACGGCTGCCGCCACTGCCGCCGGGGACCCGCCTGTTCGGTCCTTCCGCATTAACTCTACTTTCAAAAGCTCTTTTTTTGTCGTTATGTTCCATTCACTGCTATTTCGTTTTCATTGTGAGCTGCTCTTGTTTTCGTGTTCTGCGTATTTCGTTTTGTTGCGGTCACGTGTAGTACTACCAATCGAGTTGAAATACAATCAACAGAGTCCTAAAAACATTTTTTACAATATTGTCTTTCAATATTTCCGATATTCATCACAAATGTCTTATTTTCTGAGGATTTTCTTCCACTGTTGTGACACCTTCAGCACTATGGACGCCATTGCTTCTTTGAAGACGCCATTGCTTCTTTGAAGACTCTAACTTTGACCCCGGACCCGTACTTATTATCGCACTTCTGCTGATCGAGCATCTATGTACACGCCTTGGAAAGGTCTTGGAGAGTCCTATCGAATGTCACCTCGCGGGACTTGGTAGGGATCATTGGCTCTTAAGATATCGGTGGTTAGTGGTAAACGCGTTCGGTCATATTAATACCCGAACACGCAAAAACTCCGTCGGCGATGAGATTTGAACCCATGACCTTCCTCTATATTTTCCAGTCGGAAGTTTTTTTACCCCCAAGGTATCAGTTGGGTATTTGTCGAATGATGCCGAAACAAGCGCCAGTAGTTTTAGAATTGATAGCTCTATCAGTATAGCTTGAAGGTGGCGTACCCACTGATATAATGTAAGACGAGGAAGCCAGCAAAGTCCCAAATCATAGAATTTCACGATTTAAGAAATGCACGATTAGCCGACTGATATTGATAGAGCTTGAAACAAGGAACGTTTTGAGGCTGAAGGTGGCGGTACACATTGCGCCAGTTTTATTTGGGTTCAAGTAAACTTCAATTTTGTACGTTTTTTCAATGGAAAAAAGGTAACGCCAGAACATATAAAAAAGGTCCGTGGCCACGCTGACAACGCTACGGTAGGCCTAACAGCTCTTCTCGTGAAACCTTTTTTTTTGGTCGAAAATGGCTGAACATGACGTCACTCCGACGTCATTAGCGGCCAGCCTATCAAAGCCTTTGGATTTTTTTTTAGTCACAATGTGTTAAAGTTATGCCCGGGAGGGTACTGAAAGTTTGGTGACGATCGGCGCAGCGGTTTCGGAGATATATTGAAAAAAACTAAGGGGGGGGGGGGTTAAAAATGCCCCCCCCCCCCGCCTGGGAGGTTAACCCGTCATTACAATCGCGACTACAAACGGGTAGTCACTGCGCGTGCATGGCGAGGCTATTCTCAATATTATATCATCAAATCAGACGCAGTTGTCGAGGTCAGTCAATACCGGAGGAGTCACCCACCTTTTGGTGGTTGGCCTGCAGCTGCTGGTGCTTGGTTCCCAGGTCGGAGAGCGTGCTGCGAGACTTGGACGCCTCGCCCTCCTTGACGCTCAGACTGTCGCGGAGCTCGCTCAGATCCTTCGAGGTGTACCTAACGGCCAACAGACAGACAGACGATTGGACAATAGACAATGCTGCATCCGATGTCGCTGTTCAGTAGGGTGAGTTGATTTTGTTCAGTCATCGGATTTGATGCCCTGACCCCTATTTTTGTGCGTCTTCCTTTTCTGAGCACGATGGTGGTCTTTATTTTTTAAATAATACATAGGCAGTCCCAGGGGGGGGGGGGCACGGGGACCATAGCCCCCCTTCGGTGCTGAAGGGTGGGGCCTATCTTTTGGCCCCACCTTTTCAGATTGAACAAAAGCCCAAAGGTCTTTCTTGCGCCATCAAAGGAAGTACATTTCACTCATGAGTGGGCTCAGTTTCACATTCTGTCGCTTTGGCGGCCAGTGTCGCTGGCACCAGCTCACCAGTGTGGCCGGATGTGAGATATACTCTAAACTTATATGGAATATCAGCGTGGGCGCTCTTGTAGGCCCAGCATTGGCTGTCGTGAGACCCTCTTCGGCATTTGAGACCCTCTTCGGCACGCCGAAAATGAGCGTGGCTCTAAGACACTTAAGTACGACCTCATGGTTTGGTGCTGTGCAGCTCAGAAGCCCGGCGGTGACCCCACATGCCGGCTTGGTTCCTTAAAGATTAGCGTAGGACCTCCGTGGCCTGCGTATAAGAGATTGCATGAGCTAGTATGTGATCTCAGATTGGTTAAAAGATTGTTTTACAACAGCTCTTTTTAATAAAGTGGGAAACACACCTTGATCAAGGCAGAGATTCATGAAGTGTACAATCTCAATAATCATTGATGCGTACGTTAATTTAAATATCTTAGTATTGATGTTGTCATGACCACTTCCCATATTACGCATATTGTTCACAATATTCTTTATTTCATCTTCGTTAGTGGCAGGGAATCGAAGCAGAACCCACAAACTTAGGAAGATAATCAACTGCGTTGCATTCAGTATCTCTTATTTTACTTTTCAGACCCTTTCCCATGTTAGTGAAAAATGAATGTGTTTAAATTATTAACTATGTCTTTAGTGCCTTGCACTAAGCCTCTGTTGGTTTTGAATGCATTAAGCAATTTAACCTGCGCCTCAGTGGTGGTCTCAGCCAACTTGTTCATAGTGGGAGGGGTGGGGGTGGGCAATTGCGGATCCAGGGGGGCCAACGGGGCCATGCCCCCCCCAAGACGGTCAAAGGGGGCATACTATCTTTTGCCCCCCCCCCCAAGACATTCTCATAACAACAAGACATAAACATTCTCAAAGTTCCTATGCTGAAAAACTGAAATATTGCTTTGGTGATTGAGTGACCTTGGCAGTGGCGGCGGAAGCAGGGGGGCAAGGGGGGCAGCTGCACCCTAAAGCTATGGAAAGGGGCGCCTCGAAAATCTGTAGAGGAGGCAGGAAGTTAAGAGGTGCGGCAGCCATAAAGCTGAGCAGTGCGACACCGCAACTGATAAAGGCACTTGTGACACGAAGATGGTGGCAATGACGTGGGAAAAGTATCTTTTGATATGCTGAAGAGTGAAGGGCATCCTTATCTGAAACAAAGGCAGATGCTGCCGACCCTGTCGAATATAATCTTGCCAGGCGATAAAGGCTAGGAGGGCGCAGCCACTCGAGAAGCGCGCCATGCGGAAGAGGGGCGCCTGCATGCGAAAGAGGGGCGCCTGTGTGTGGGACGAAAAAGAAACATTTATGGAGACGTCTTTGAAGGCGATAGCCTCCGAACGCCAACACGAACATATGAGGGCTTATAGCGTTGCAGGCTCCATGCGACAAAAAGGGGCGCCTGATGGCCGATATGCGAGAGGAAATTAGTTTGTGTAACATTTATCGGGGGCGGTTTGCCGTTTACAACATATGAATGTTAAGGGAGGTCCGAGATTGGGGCCTGTAAAATTGCACTGTCCGTATAGGTGGTTACACCCCTAGTGCTAGGGCGTATTTTGCGTTTTTTTTTTTTTTACTGGGGAGATGATTATGACCAGGAATAGCACTCTGCAAACTTCTATGGGCGCCTGTATAGGGGCGAAACTGATTTTCCAGTGCAGGGACGGCCATCGGCATTGTGGGGCGGCATTCATTCCACTGGGGCGTCTGCCAGTGTTGAAGGGCGGGATTCATTTCAATGGGGCGCCCGTTGGTGTTGATGGGCGACATGTATCACCTGGGGCGCCTATCGGAGATTGGGGCGGCATTAATTTCACTGAGGCGCCTATCGGCGTTGACGGGTGGTATTTATTCATCCGGGGCGCTTATCGGTGGTATAGGCCGGCATTCGCTTCACTGAGGTGCCTATCGGTGTTTTAAGGCGGCAGTAAATCCACTGGTGTCTGGGGCGCCTACCGGCGTCGAAAGGCGACATTCATAATTCATTTCACTGGGAGGCATATTGGTGTTGATGTGTAACATTCATTCTCCTGGGGCGCCCGGCAATGAGGGGGCGGCATTTATTCCGTTCCCCTGGGATGGGCCCCTATCGGTGTGGAGGCGTCGCCGTCGTATTACTTTGAAATGGGGGCACCTCTGGATGGTAGTAGATGCATTCATTTCGCTGGGACACCTACCAGCGTTGATTGCCTGTATTCATTCATTTCGGGCTCCTATCGGTGTTGAAAGGCGGCATTTATTTCACTGGGGCGTCACAAACCTGCTACTCCCACCATAAACCTCAGCCTATTCACTTCACGTTAGCAGTAACTAGAAGTCTCTTAGGGGGAATCCATAGGGGGAGGCTTAGTCTCGGCATAGTCTCGGGTATCATTGCGTCGCGTCGGAGCGATTAGAAACCGGGTTCTAACGATCGAAATTTCGCAGCTCTAACCAACTTGCCGGAAGGACGGATGCAACTTAAAGGGACCCTCCCACCTTCAAAAAAGTTAATGAATTGGCATAAAAGTGATGTAGCGTGAATCACAAAGAGCGAAAATGAACATCTACCAAATTTTACCGGAAAATATTCAACCGTTTTCGAGATATAAGACTTTTATTTTTGTTTACTTTTTGGGAACTCCGCTGTTTCTATGACGTCACATAAAGGTTTTCTTTACGTCGGCATTTGGAAGCAATAATTTGGTATCAAAGTGCGACAAATATTGCGCGAATGATGCGTTTATCTTATCAAGGTCAATATATGATGGCCAACAAAGGATTCCAGGACAATTCTTATGGCATTTTTTCGTATCGCAATTCTTCGTCTGCAAATCTTCGTCAGGGCATTTATTCGTATCGCATTACTTTGTCTCGCATCAGGGTATATGAAAATTTGCTCGCATTTCTTCTTCAACGCAAATATATGCAAGAGTAAGCATTGATGGACAAATAAATGCACCGACGAAGATTTGTAGACGAAGAAATGCGGACGAAGAAATGTCATGCGAGGATTCGTTCGGGTACCATGACATTTATGTGATTTCAAAGTCAAGGTTCACAGCTGATCTGCTAAATCAAGCCAAGAATCCAAACTATCAAAAAACTATAAATATTTGTTTGTCTGTCACAGAGGTCTCAAGCAATATAAGGTTGACATATGTTGAATCAAAAATCTACTGCCACAACTCACATCTCCTGCCTTAGTTTATCATTGTTGTTTTAACTTGCTTTCAAGAGAAACAGAAGCCAGTATCTGATATCACTTCAGATGATTGTTTCAAGATCTGAGTTCAAATGGAATTAAAAGCAAGATCAAGATGAAACAGGGATTATTGCTGTTAAAGTAGTTTGGCCATGATACAACAGGCACATAAATCATTAGCCAAATCAAATACTGGTTGGTTTGTCAAGATGTTTGTTGTCTGTCGTCTGTCGAGCTGCTATGAACACTGAACGCTCTCACTCTTACTTTAAAGAGAGTAGTTTAAGTTGAATGGTAGTGAGCTGTAATTAGACAAAGCAGCTATTCAGTGCTCACATCAAGCCAGGCTAGGAAATGGCATCAACTGTGGTGGGAGGAAGCAGGTTCGGCAGGCCTATGTTGTAAACTTCTGTTGTGTCTTGTGTTTGATCAACTGATGTTTTCTGCTCTGTTTTGTGCAGTGATAGTAGCAGGTAACTGCATGCTTGTCAAATTATGTGAATAAACAAATTCATAACATTGCATTTTTCTCTCCATGCAAGGAACAAGTAAGATGTTGTAGAAAATGTAATAGAGGGCTGCATTGCTGATTTCATGCACTTTATCAGAGCTTTATTTAGAATTGCTTTCCTGAAAGCTACACACAGGCCACAGCACTGAAATTCACAATGTCATAGCTTTTGGCAGAAAAAAAGAAAAGACTTGCCTAGGTAAAATTGGCTGAAAGTATGGCAGAGCAGGTCTTGATGCGTCTGCCCATCCGTGTGCTTGCCGAAGCCGAACTGACTGCAACACATTAACTCTGACCCACCATGGTGGCTGGCATATCCTGAACTTTCACCACTCTAAACAAGACAACTTTCAGCCCTCAGCATTGTATTAAAACACTGTACATGGCAGTTGACACTCAAAATTTGTTTCAGTGCCATCCACGGACAACATCAGTCGCCATTCACCAGGCCAGTAAAAACAGAATAGATAATAGCTTCAAACAGGCCGGTCCCGTAGCTCAGTTGGTTAGAGCGTTGGACTCCGCGTGGTGAGAGCACGCGTTCCCGGTTATGACAGTCCGGGTTCGAAGCGCGACGGGCGCTCGACATTTATGGGCCTCCTGACTGGTATGGTTGCGGTTGGTGGCAGGCCGTAGCCAGGTGAAGTCAGCGAGGGGACCGGCCGTGCGCGGCTTTGTGCGCACGTTAAACTTTGGACTCTAAATTCTGCCATAGCACCGGAATTGCGCGATCGGAGGGTAGAGGGCAGGGTCATGGCAACAAGCTTCGCTTAGCGGTGGCTCTCTCCTTGTGAATCCTTCCCATCAAAAGGTTCGGGCTAAATTTATAAAAAAACCCATGTAGTCAGAGTTACTAGGTCTGCACCTCAAAACAAAATCCAGGTGACATTCACCACGCCAGTAAAAAAACAGGTAGGTACTTAGGTAACGTAACA